GTCTGATTATTTGATAACCTTAGGTTTCTTATACCCGTTCACCCTTTCTACACTCAGCACATAATCTTCTATGGCAAAGCTTCGATCGGATTTCCTGGATTTCTGAGCTCTTGCCCCACCTGAACACTTCAGAGCAAATACCACTTCTTACAAAAGGGGCCTGGCCGCAGACTTCATGGCTAGTCTCACGAAGTGGTTTAATATTTCTTTCTGGTTTGTAAACTGTATCAACGCATTTAAAAACAGATTTAAGAAGCTTTTTTCCACCTCTAAATATAAAGAGTTTTATCACTCATCAGAAAGATAGTATTTGGTTATAATCTGAATTCCATCTGGCTTCTGATGGCTTACTTCAAAATTCCCCAAACTTCAGAAATTATCTTTGGCTTTTGAAATGATGAAAAGCTTTCTATTTTTGCTAAAATGCTTCCGCCATAAAAAAAAAGAAAAATGAGGAGTCCCAAAAAGGAATAGTTACTATCTCAGTTATACAAAATAATCACCAGATATATACTTTAGAATAAGATGAGCTTGCATCATGGGAAAGTTTATGATTTAAAGAAGGAACAAGATATATTTGGGGGAATTCCCATTAGCACAATTAAAGGAAGAATATACTGAACTTCCATATATGGTGCTGGCCATTCCGCTTGTAGGTTACTCAAGCCATTTAAAGTCTTGGCTGCATAAGCAAGTGCTACAACTTCACAATCTTTTTGGCTTTGCTGACATAATGATTTACTCCAGGCTGGGTGCTGCCTGAGCCACTGTGCTCTCCTACGCAGTGTTTGAAGAGTGGATAGCGTGCAGCTGTGCAGTCTCCCAGACACCTGAGTCCAGAATATTGTTGAATTTTGTTTCGTTTCTGTACTCCACAGAAAGCTGGAAGTTCCCCAACTCTCTCTCTTGGGTTTGGCTTCCTGTTTGCATGTTTTCTGGTCTCATGTCATTGTGCATGAAGTAATAGTCCCACATGCGTGCACCATCTACAATGGCAAGATTTGTGTGCTTCAGCACAAGTTTTCTAATGAGGATATTTTGGACCTTCCAACGACTCCTTAGGGAAAGCAGTTTGGAACCCGTTATTGCTTTCCAAGGTGAAGGGAGCGGCGACAGAATGCACATCAGCAACAGGACTGAGGCCACTTTCAGGAGATGATCGAAGGACAACTGCCTAAGAAAAATAAACATTTCCCTTACACATCTATCTAAATGGGTATATGTCTCTATGTGTACAGTATAGAAAAATGCCTCCAATTCATGGTTTAAAAATATCAGTTACTGGTTCAGCATTTCACTAACTATGAATGGTGTTAGTGTTTTCCACTGAGGACTGTTATTTTAATGGCATTTCTCTGTAGCAAAATCTGATGAGTTTACGAAACTTGAGAGCCAGGAAATGCAGCTCAGTTTCTGAACAACTGAGAGAGCCAAGAGAGTTCAGCTCAATCATCTACTTACTTTATAGCGTGGATTCGTAAGTGCTAAGTGCAATAACACGCTGGTATGGAGAGAGGAGCCAAACCAAACTTTTCAAGTACAGCTCTTAAACCATGAGGCTTAACCTCCCAACATATTATCAGCAGGTGAAATTCTGGTGCACACCCACACCTATTTGTGGATGTTCATGTCAAATTAATGGGCATACATGCCAACATTTTGTAGAATTTTAAAACAGGAAGAGATTTTGGAAGTCTTCCAATCTTATCCTTTTATTTTAAGACAGAGAAACTGAGACTCATGAGCTCTCACTCTGTACATACACACACACACACACACACACGCAACTCAGTCTTATGCTGAGTCGCTGCATAGATCTGACTTAAGAAAAAGACGTATCATAAGTCTGGCTTAAGAAAAGAAGAGGTCAAAATGACCAGGGCTAGGCCAATGCTTCGCTGCTCCATGCATGTTTGTGTGGCCCAACTTCAGGACTGTGGGCTGACAATTTGTTCTTTCTTCAGGAATTGTTCAGGGTCTCGGATTAGATGTTTTTGACCGAAACTTGAATGAACTCCACAACAAATCAAAGATCAATATGTGACTCAGATCCTGACTATACAGCGATGCTCAACTAGTGCATGGTAGTTACCAAGGACCGCGTTATGATTAGCATATAAAATGTAGACCAAGCTTGAGATACAATCCTCACACTTAGGAATCTTAAAACCTGGCTGGAGAGATGAGACCATCACCCATGTAGGCGGCAGCAGCAACAGTGGAGACTATATAACTAGATGCTACATTGTGTGGCACAGATTTTAAGTGTTGTAGGAGTTCTGCTGAGAGATATCTATGAAAATTGAGGTTGTCAGGAAATGGAATTTCAGCTGATCCCAGAGGGGTGCTTAGAATTTTAATATGTGGAGGGAAGAAAGGTGGATTTTTCTAGTAGAAATGGAAGCATGGAGAGGGTCTCATGGCTAGGACCCTGAGGAGATCAGGCTGATGGGGGCTGCCCAGAAGCATTTGTCAAGCTAAGTAATGGACTGTGGATCCCCAGTACGGATTTACATTATTATGTACTAAAATTTTACTGAAATAAGCACCCCCCGAAAAACTGGTTACGAATTAATTTAATTATATTTATATAACTATAAATCCACGATAATAAAGTTATATTTATATCACTGAAAATCCACAGTAAGTTGCTAATTAAATATAAACAAAACCAATAATATTCTATAGATTAGACTGGAAATATTAGTTTAAAATTAATAATATTAATTCTGTTTGCCAGATCATACTGTTTTGCTGAAACTAAAGAATCAATTCACTTTAACCAAGTGTTCATTAATGAAATTGTAAAAAAAAAAAGTAGGAAAGAAACATTTTAATAAAAAATATCTATGGCGTATTCAGTACTATGCCTATTTATAATGAATTGTTGCAAGTTAGCACATGTAAAGGAAGAAAGGATCCCACTGGGGTGTTGACCATGGAACTGAGCACTGTGGTGGCTCAGTCATCCTGTGGCCTTACTCTGTTCTGGCAAATAAAACTTCAGACAGCACAGCAGGAAATGGTTGACTCATGTGCATACACATATCAAGCGAGTATTTAGGCTGCTTCTGTTCTCTCTTTAATAGCCTATGGCAATTAAATTATTATATTATTCTCCCACACATTATTGTTTTAATGATGACAAATCAAAGTCTTCGTTGATAAACTTTATGAAAGCTCTGGTCTTATTCCATGAAAATGTCTTCTGATTGCAAGTTACCCCTGCAAGGGAAGTGGTATCTTTATTACCAGCTAAAAAAGATTCAACACAAGTGATAATGGTTGCCAGTGTTTATTGAACGCTTGTAATGTGCCACATACTCTTCTAAATTTTTTACATGGATGCTCACATGTAATCCTCACGTCAACCCTATGAGGCAGATACTATGTTTAATCCTCATTTTTCAGAGGAGGATACTGAGGCTTAGAGAAATTAAGTAACTCACTCAAGGTCACCTAGCCAATGAAAACTGTCGCCTGGAATTCAGGCATCGAATTCCAGGGTCTGCTGCTCCCAGTAGTAGATTCACAATAATTGCAGAAAGGGTGTTGCTATTTTGACATTAGGCTATGCCAGCATGACCACAACCAGATACTTACAGCGTCACGTTCAAACGTTAACTTTTCTTCAGGAGATCACGAGGTACCGTGCCTAATCCTAAACGTAAACATTTATATGTCCTCTCGGAACACATTGAAGAAGTGGACATCTGCATGATGCTTATATAATTTGTAATGCTCTCAGAGACATGGAAACAGAGAATGTAAAAACTCACCAACTCCCAGAATGGAAGCACAGGGCAGTGGCCAAAGGCTGACTGGGCTGGGTGTGCCAGATGACAGAGGGCGGCCGAAAGGGGTGGAGGAGCTGAGCTCCTGTCGGGAATGGCAAGAGCCATGATAAGGGTGGTGTGGGAGGAAAGTCTTGCAGCAACAGGCCAGCTCCAAGGCGGCCAGCTCCAGCGAGGCCGGGCTGCAGCAAGCTCGCTGCAAGAGGGAAGTTTTCCGAACAGAGAGAAGGTCCAGGGACTGCCCACGTTTACCCGGAATCACCAGGGCCAATTCAGAACAAGGAGAGATTCGAGGTCTGTTGTATTGAGCGAATTAATCTACACCCATTGCCTTTGAGCTTCCCCTCTATGTATACCAACATACAGTTGTATTCACCAGTGAAGAGCTAAGAAAGCTCCAAATGAAATGCTTTAATATTTACACGGCAAGAGAAATGTTTTTTACATATAAAGGGAATTTGAGTTGCTAAATAGTGTGTGTCATTTTCCTATTCTTATATTTCATATATCTTATATTTCCTTATAATATATATATCTCTCTCTTACATTTCCTCTCCTATCTTACATATCATATCCATATTTATATGTAATATGTATATGTTAAAATGTGCTGTGCTATTCATGGCAGCAAGATTGCTTCAAAAGATACTTAATGCATTAAAATGGGTGTTTCCTCTTATTCAAAGTATCTAAGTTGATTTTAGTCACTTATTTTTCAACTTTCGTAAATGCAGAATAGAAACAAACTTCACCACTTGAAAGTGCTTACTTTGCTACTCATCGGATAATAGCTGGCAGCACCTTCAGAATATTTTATGATTCAGCACCTTTTCCTTTAAAATAGGTCTCATAACCTGAAATTAGACGTCACTCAACTTTTAAACTTGGAATACTTTGTAAACTTTGACAAAGAAACTCTTCTTTAGTGATTTTATGATATCCAGTCAAAGAATAATATGAAATGAATCTAATGGAAAGTCTTTCCCTTGATGAAAAGAGAGTCTAATGGAAACTGCTACAAAAGGAGCGCATTACCCACAATGCTTCGAAGTCTCTTGCGAGTGATTGTAAGAAAATCAGTCTGGGTGAAATTTGGAGAATATTATTCCTAATGATGTCCTCCTTTGAACTGTGAAAGGGCAGCATCTGAAAGATAAATCACTGATAAAAAGCAACTGAGGACGCTTATGCTTTCCTCCATTGTAGACACTGACAGCTAGCCAGCATCCTCTGAAGAAGGTGAATTTGGCAAATGACATGCAGGTTCTCCAAGACAGAGTAATTGCAAGAAATCTTCAAAGGTACTCATATCAAATATTTATCTCTTGGTTAATTAAACCAAGGCACTAATTAAACCTGAGCACTCCATGACACTTGGAGAGGGGGACATTGCACCGATGGGGAATTGTAAGAAACTGAGTCATCAATAGTCCTGTAGCACTCTCATCCTTCTTGGCTGAGAGAGCTACAGGGGTCTTGAATGTGACAGAGCCATTTCATGAAAATAGTCTCCCAGAATGACAAAAGAACCATCTGAAAAATGGGTATTTGAAGAATCAGGTAACTTTATCAATATGTCATGAGCTGTTCAGAATTAGAGGGACATTGAATGGCAGACCAGTTACGCTCAGTCATCCACATTCTCGGGAGTGAAAACTGTACAGATGTCACCCCTCTCGTTCGCAGCTTGCCTTCACAGTTTCTTGCCTTGGACAGATAAATACCAGTGGCAAGAGTTTTGTGGGGCCGGGGAGAGTTCGGAGACCCACCTCAGCAATACAACATTGGTTACAGAAACATTCTTAGGAGTGTTGATTTATATGAGCTCCCACCCCCGTGAGCCTTTCTCAAATGCCAGTATTGAAAGTTGTCCCCTTCCATCCCCATCCAGAACTAAAGCATTGGAAACTGTTGAGTTCCCCTTGGTTTCAAGTTGCAGCTCTTCAAAATCATTGCCCTTTGCTTGATTTTCCTTCTAAGCTTTGTGTTGGCCCACGTTGGCTTGGAAGAAGTCCTGTAATCACCACACAGCTCATGAACCTCACAGAAACAAAACAGAACAAAATCTTCAAGGCTGGCCTGAATTTCAGGTTCGTCTTTTGAGGACTGATTTGTCCAGCTTCTCTTTCGAATACTTACAGAATTCAGTATTTTGTCTTCATACTACCAATGGCAAGCAACGAAGGGAAATGGCTGGAAGTGTATGGGAAACTGGGATCGACATAAAATCATGAGCGTTAGCAGTCTTTCTATAATTCTTGGAGCTTTGTCTGCAGGTGGTCTCGGGTATCACCAGTAATGTGTTGGATGCTGGTTATGCATAAGCTAAATCAACACTAAGAGAAGAAAAATTGAGGTTTAGATCTCCTGATTTCAAAACTCCAAACAGGAAAGGAAAATATTCCAAAACAGAAACTAAAAAAGTTATCTCTTTAAGAATAAGTTCAGTACACACTGGAACTGTGACTTCTTAAGAATTCTTCATCTTCTTGAGTCAGTTTGCCAAACCTTATCTTTGTGAACGTCCAGCCCTTGCATCACTTTTCCTATAGGAAAGAAAGAGGTTGGGCTTCAGTATCACACCATTCAAAATTAACTCTAGGGGCTGACCTGGTGGCGTAGTGGTTAAGTTTGCGCACTCCACTTCAGCAGCCCAGGGTTTGCAGGTTTGGATCCTGGGTGCAGACCTAACACCAGTCATCAAGCCACGTTGTGGCAGCATCTCACATAAAACAGAGGAAGATTGGCACAGATGTTAGCTCAGTGACAATGTTCCTCAAGCAAAAAGAAGAAGATTGGCAATAGCTCTTAGCTCAGGGCCAATCTTCCTCACCAAAAAAAAAAAAATATATATATATATATATATATATGTATATTAACTGTAGAAGAGGCTGGAAAACCCTTAACACCAGAGGTCACTTTTTATCTTCTCAAGAGATGACTGAGGCCCTGATTTCTCAAAACATCTGTCTTCGTTTCTTTTGCTCTATGAAGAGGCCACTTTTCTGGGATGCCATGTTGTTTATTATCTGGCCAGTAATCTTTCATTTTACACTTGTCTCCTTTTAATGGGTAATTTCACCACTTTAAGCATTATATCCTTTTCATTTCTCAGCATATCCTTATTATGAGAAAATAGAAAGTGTTTAACATTGGATCAAGTTAGAATCATTTCCTCAAATTTAACATGCGTGATACTTATTTCTTAAAAATCTGTGGACCCCCTGCGTCAGCAGGCTTCAGTCTGCTTTTTCCATCTTTGGACTGGAAAATTCAAATTCAGTCTGACCAGCTGACACCTTCAGCGATCTCTGCCCCCCCTTATCCATCATTTGAGCTGGATGCGATAGGTAGCTGAGTCACTTCCCACCACTACATCTGTATTCATATATCCACGATCTTCCCATCTGGTAAATTTTATAGAAAGAAATTAGTCCTTTCTGTGTGTGCTCAGAGAATGAGGTTTATAAAATAATGACCACTCTAATGGGCCTTGGGGTTTCAAAATGCTGCCCTGTGTATTTTTGATTGCCTCTCTGCTCATGACATCTGGGTATAAAGTTCTCTCATTTAATATTTTTCCAGCTTTAAGAACTGTTTACATGCAGTTCATTGAGCTTGGCATCGCCTCCAAAATACATAATGCAAGAAACAGAACCAGGAGATGTTATAAGCAATTCTCAGAAACTGCCCAAGTGTCTCCTGACTATCTGATTGCCAGAAGATTCTTTCCTGTTCCAAGGACAGATAGGTTGTATTCACATATAATAAGACACCAAAAGGACAATTAAATTTCACAGCTTGAGGGAGATATTGAGTGTTCTTGTCAAAAATGTTCACACCTGTGGAACAGGCTGTTATTTTTGTGCAGCCTGGTTTTCAGCTTGAGATACACCTGCCAAAATCTGAATGGCCGCTATTGTACCTTCTGGACTCCAAAACTGCGCTGTCAGACAAGGTTTGGTGCACACAGATGGGATAACTTAGAACAGCGACTATGTTGTTTGTAAGGAAAGTAAGACCTTTCCTAGCCCTGTTGCTGCCTGTTTGGGATGGAAAATTTTATCATAAGCATTCACTAGCTGTGCCTCCTGGCACTTTAGTTTTTCATATGTTACTTTAATTATTTAAGTTATGTTCGACACGTTAATTTAATTTTAAGTGATTTCTGAAAATTGTCCCTAGACTGTAATAGTAAACTACATCTTTTCAAGCCATCAATTTCAGATGTGGACCCTAAACACCGCTAAAATTATTCTCATCTTGGTTTCCAATAAGCATTTAAAGCTTGCTACGGAATATAAAGATTTGAATTTGGGGTTGCTAAAAAGCAGACTCTTCTCCTTTGTGATCACTCTTACCCTTAACATTTCTCATTAAAGGGGCAGTTTATCACAGAGAATCCTAATGTCAGTTAAAATAATGTATTTGTTGTAAAAACAATATAATAGCTACCTATTATGAATTTTTTTGAGTTAAAAAGAACACACACTTAACCTAAGATGTTAAGTCTTTTCTGTATGAATTTATGCCATGTGGAATCATGGAAAATTGCTCCCATTTGACTATTTTTGACCTACAAAAGTAGCAATTTCATATGGCACTACCTAATATTTTACATAATTGAAAACATGGAGAATGCACAATTTTATTCTGATTTTTTCCATTACCTTTATATCAAAACAATTTATGGTTTCTGCATTGTTTTCATAGTTCATAATTTAAATCAGTGCATCATGTTCCATTACATGGATGTGGGATCTATCGGTTGATTTTGCTTTTTCCATATAAAAGATAACACTCAAAAAACACAATCAATACCTTCCTTCACACAGCCGCTGTATTTGGTTCCATTCTAATGCCAGTTTTTATGCTAGAGTCTTCTCCTCTATCATCCTTTCATCCCCCTGAAACTAAATATTTTCACACGTGAGTCTTTAGTACAATTTTAAGTGAGAAAGCAAGTATTGCTATGTACAAGTATACAAATATGCACACATGTATGTCCATAGTTAAATGGATCTGTTTTGGCAGTACAACGTTAAAGCCAATGAGTTTGTATTTCAAGAAAATACCAGACTCCAATGGGATGAGAACCGTTGTGCCCATCAGGCTGTGCCGCCCTTAGCTGGCTCCTCTCCATTCTCAGCTGACTGAGACCTGTCCCAACAGATGGCCCTCTCAGTATGCTTTGACTGCCAACAGACTAGTGCCTTGTCTAACATGACGAGGAAGCAAACTCCAGGGGTGTTGACCGACCGGAGGAAAACCTTTTGCTCTTGCCATAATGACCCATTCAGGCAGGAAGTTAAGAGGAAAATCGCTGTTCCCCTGCGGGTGAGGAGTGGAGAGTGGGGAGGAGAGCAGTTTAATTATGGTGAGGATGGGGGCTTGGGGACAGGGACACAAGTGGAGACCTAGAAAAAAGGAAGGGATGATGTCATTCTTTACTGGGACAGTCACTGAAATGAAATCAGGTCACAAACAACGGTCTTGTTCTTTGCCCGGAACTATAAGTGTTACAGGAGATTACTCTGTGGTGACGCTTCTTAGGAAGACTCTAAGGCCCTACTCACATTAAGGTAGCCCCCAAGACATCTCAAAGACAGATAAGAAGGGCAGGATCGTTCCCTCCAGTGCCAAAATGGCGCACACTAGACCCACAACATTTGTTCAAGATCGCTAAGTCACATTTTAGGACAGAAAAATTGTCCAGATTCTAAGAACACAGTGAATTTCAAGAAACAGAAGGCAACTGCACCACTGGGTGTCGGGCCAGATGTTTTAAATTGGTGCTTTTTGTAGAATAATTTTGAACAGCATCCTGAAGTTAAGATGGAATATATTTCTCACTAGAAAGTTGGCACTTCCTGGTGAGAAATACTGCCTTGTACCATGTTAGGGCATTTATAGGACTGATTAGTTCTCCTTACAGAGGATGCGTTTCATCTGTGGCAGTCTTGAGTTCCTATTGCCTCTGGTGGCAGATATATTCAATTTTAGGTCCCTTCGTTCAATGGTGTCCTAATTTAACCTCATTCATCTGCTTAGATTTCACAAGAGGGCATCACAATTACAAATGAAGGTTAGATTTTCTAAGAAGTCATCCGTGGAATAATTAGGTGATAGGGTCAAATCCTGTTATTAAGATTCTGTTGTTATTGCATTAATGAGGCTTAAAACAAATAAGTCATTGACTGAGCCTTTTTTTTTGAGGATATTTTTGCTGCACAAGTATTCATAACAGTAGAATTGGAACACTGTAGGCTTTTTACTTTGGCATCTACAGTTTGAGAATTTG